TGATGAATGAATCTGACTTACCACTGTTGTTTGATGAACTCGTGAAAAGACGGAGTGAGAGAGAAAAGAAACGGAGCGAGAGAAAAAAAGAAAACAGCAATAGACACAAATGGAAACATGAATGACTAGCTAACGAATGCTAACGAGCTGCACTCGCGCTGCACTCGCTGTTTTAGAATAAAAGCGAACGATCAAATTAATCAGATTAGTTTGATAGATAATATCAGAAATATGGTGGGAATTAAGTTATATTTTATCACTTTAAACAACAGAGAGTGATAGTAAGAGAGATTCAACAGAAAAGCAAAGCTACACGGAGTTGCAATCACAAACCACTCAGCAGCACAGTACACAGGAAACGGATAAACAGACCAATATTAAAATAATTTTAGCTCAAAACTCACTTTCAAACAGAAGCGAGTGTTTTAAATAACTTCTGTTTGAGATCCGATTTGGATTATGATCAAAAGACTATGCACGCTATTACCATAGTAAGCATGGTAAATACGACTGCTTGAAGAAATCAGACAAATCATATAGGCTATCACAATTGTGTATTTATTTAGATATTTTATCTGTCAGTATAGCCTATAATCATAGTTTTTGTTCAGGAGCTCCCTATGCTACTAGGTCATATTTTTGATGGAGAAATTACTGTGAAATTAACTGTGACTACAAATAAACAGAAACGGATGCGACTGAGTAAGTGTGTTCTCTTCCTTTTGTGAAATAACGGTAAATAACACTTTTTTTCTGTGTGACTAATTTTCAGTCTTTGAAAGACTGAAAAACTGATATTTTACCAGTTTTACAATAATAAGTGACATGTATCTCTTATTATTGTAAAACTGGTAAAACGGATGCTTTTGGATTTAAATCTTTAATTAAACAACACAACAAGCAAACAAACGAATGCTTTTATCATGTTCATTTTGTGATCTCATGATTTATTTCTGATTAGTTTTCTGATAACTTCTCTTTGTTGGTGAAATTATGTGGTTGCGAGAAATGGTTCCAGACAGGCATGTAAAGAGCGGGTTTTAGTGAAGCGCTGTGGAGCTTCTGGCCCGACGGTGGAAACGCAGCGTGATTTTGGACTCTGTGCTACAGGTCCAAGGCTATTAGCCCCACCCGGCCTGTTGAAAGCACTGGCTTGCACTGGCCCGTCAGTGGAAAAGCGGCTAATGAAAGTAATTTAATTTGAAGGTGCATGGTGCACCACTATACCAGTGCAGATAGTGTGTAGTTACACAGAATGAAGGGTGGTTAAATAAGATTTAGACTTTAACTTGGTTGCCAAAATGGCTTTTCCATGTAACAGTGGCTATTTTAAAAGTGGAAATGATGTCAAGGAACAGCTTTTCTCTTTGCTGACACAACTGCTGAGTAATGAAGACCACAAAGTATTGTCTCTCTTCTGAACAGCTGACCACTCCTCTGTGTTTAGGAAAAGTAATCTTCTTTGTTCGTGGTTTGGTGTGGTAGAGCATTTTGGTCTTTGTGTGAATTAGGGCTGTCAAAATGGCTGAAAAACTAAATTCGAATTTTGTACTTAAATATTATCAAAATTTGAATTATATTTGAATTTACAATGCATAATTTCATTTAGGGTGAAGAAAAGCTTTTGGCATCTCTTCTGAGGCCACAAGAGGGCGCATCAAGCAAAATATTACTAATGCATGTTTATTCAAAGCATAAGATAAAATGACTATCTGTGAAAAAAGTGCATAATGTTTAAAATAATGTTTATAAACCAATTATAATTAATTTAGTTGCTTAAACAACTATAAACAAAACAGCATCATGTATGTATGCATAGTTTAATACAAAGGGTGGAAAGCCAATTACACAGAGTACATTTCTCATTTAAAAACATGAGATGCAGTGGGATGGGGAAAAAACCCCACCATAAAGTCTCAATATATGTTTTTTTCAAAGTTAAACTTACATTCTTACACTTTACATGGCTTTCTAAACATGCTGTAATTAATAATTACATAATTAACAATTTTGGATAATTCATCCAAGATTGATGTAAATGACTCCACTTCATGTCATTCCAAACCAATAAGACTTTCCTTCATCTTCAAAACACAAATTAAAATGTTTAATGAAACCTGAGAGATTTCTGTCCATGCACTGTCTCCATTTGACCAAAATCTTCAAACTCCAAAAAGGTAATACAGATCTATGAATCAAGCTGTATAAACCAAGTCTTCTAAAGAGAGACACAATTGCAAAATTAATTAAGGACAGAATTAAAGAATCTTTTCTTTTAGAGACATAATCAGTCCCCCTGAGAATACCTGTATATTACACTTTGTTCTCGGGGTTATATCTGTTCAAATCTGTTTAAAATTAGAATTTAGAAATGGCTGAGAGAAGGGGCTGAATAGTTCTCTCTCTCTTTCTGTCTTTGTGGAGTATTCTCAGAAATAAAAAGAAAATACTCATTTAAAATACGTGCCTTTATATACATTTCTGCAAAACTGGAAAAACGCACCTATATGTACGAATCACTGCAGTTTCCAGTTTCCTTATGTTATGACTTCAAAACAATTTTAACATTCTGCGCGATTTGAAAACTGATACTTTTGAATGTTGTTTTCACATATACAGCTTCATTCATATGCATGAGTTTTCTAATTCAGTAGGTTTTCTCGGTAGCTCACGCGATGCGGCAGCGTTGCATTTGAGAGATTAAGAGCTCCGATATAAAACTATGGTTCAACAAAACAGCTCAAATCCTCACGAGGAAGTTAAAATAGCACAGCTGCATCAACAAAAGCGTCTTTATATAACTTTTCCATTTGTTAACACTATTGAGTAGGTTTAGGGTTTTTATTACCAACGTAATAAAAACGTGCCATGGTCACGTTTTGAACGTGTTTTAGCACCACTCTCTGGACATTTCACTTTGAAACCGCCACTTTGAAACCGCCGCGAAACGTGCAGTAAGATACATAATAACGGTGTTGCAGAAATGTATTTAGAGGC